ATCACATTCAGATGCTGATAAAATCAATTTAAAATCACTTTAAACCTTGCCACCATCTCAAAAACAGTTTAAAACATGCTTTAAAATCGAAGGGCTTTACCACAATTTACTTATCTCACTCGCACAGAACAGAAGGCTAACCCAAGTGCTACGGTGACAGAACGATCAAAACCTAATCACAATATTCCACAATTAATAACCATACCACCACAAATTCAAAGTAAAATCATCGTGAGCACTACCCCTAATCCCGTGCTATTTCTATCAATTTCCACATAATTGAACATCTCCACATTCATTCTTATATCACAACTAATCATTTAAATCCCCGTTAATCGTTAACCCTCGATGTGTGAACAGTACCCATGAACAATGATCCGCAGTGAACAGTGACTGCAATCCTCCAAAATAATCTCACGGGTTTTCTCCAAAAATCACAACAGGCCAAATCAAGCTAATTTTCTACTTAAACAACACTTAAAAACATAGCTTAAAGCTACCAAAATTCATTTCCAATTTCAACAGAAATTCCCGAACAGTACAAGGGCAAATCAAAGGGAGAAATTCAAGATTCAAGGCAGCAAATCAACGGACAAATTCGGGGTTGGAGGGCTGTCACATACCGAAATTTAACAAGCAAAACCGAAGCTAGCAGGGAGAAGAAGTCGACGGCAAGTGCAGGGGGGAGCTCACGGAATTAACCCAAATTCAAGAACCAAAACAGAGATTAGAGTAACCCAAGCCAAATCAAAGCTAAAGAGATGATTTTCATGGCTGTGGCTTGCCCAAAATTCAAACCCACAAGCTGAAGCCGACGAACAGCAGAAGGGGGAAAAGACGCAGAGCAGATCTGGAATTTCCAGCAGAAAAGGGGGGGAGTTTCTGGGTTCAAGAACAAGAAAAGAAGGAGAAATTCATCAAGATCTCACCGGGCTTTTCAAGGGGGAGAGAGTCGGTGGCTTGGGGGCTTGTCGGGAGAAGAATCGAGAAGAAGAACAGAGCAGACATGCGGCTGATGAGGAAGAAAAGAAAGAAAAAGAAAAGAAAAAGGAGTTCATCCTTATCCTAATTTTCTTTCTTTTAAGTCCCTCAACTTTTAAAATTTTACGATTAAACCCAAAAACAATATTTTTCCTCAAATAAGTCCCCAATTTAATGCTAAAATACCCCCAAATTTTGGGGTATTACATATAATGATTTCCTTGTTTATATGTTATTTTGCACTTGTCAAAAGACTCAAGTTCATTACCCTTGATAAATTGAGCTCCAACTATTTGTTGTGAACTCTTGACGTGAAAATTCTTTTACCTTAAATGAATCTTGAAGATTCAATTGTGGAAGGAAATAAAGCATCTTTTGATGAAAGAAGATATTTTTGAAGAAAAGGGCATCCTTGAAGGATTGTGATGAAATGATATTTCTTCATTATGGAGTCCAAAAAGGACTAAGAGATGAATATTTGATGATGAATGATTCATTGGAGTCGTGAAATTGTTTGGAAGAAAGATGGTCATTAAAATAAAATTGCAATTTTTCCAAAAAAACTAACTATGAATAGATCCATTTATTACTCGAGTATGAATCCACAAATATTTTGCATTATCTCATGCAGAGAAAAATTGTTATTGATGAAAATATATAAGAGAAGATACATTCTTCTTTCTATGCCTCGAATATGCTTCAAAAGTAGTAATCTCGAGAAGCTAATTTTAACATGTATACTCAAAGTAAATATATGTTTTCTTGTTGCCAACAAAATTATGAATTGATGAAAAATCATTGATCACAACCATTGGTTTGATTCCATTCCATGAAGAGAATGTGATATCATATTATATGAAGTCATTATTATGACTATGGTTATGA